CATAATATCGTATTGAGTCCCAAGTATCGTGACACGTATCGTTTCGCAACACCCATGCCGATACTCACCCTTAACTTACATCCATGCAGACCAATGGAAGTCTTTGTCCTCACTCCCTTGAAGTGAAGAGAATGTGATCTTTAAAATGCAATTTGAAAACAATGTAACTCGTAAAAATCTATCTGAAAAAGAGAACTAAAAAAATGAACTCAAAAATATTAAATTTGTAAAAAAAATAAAATTTAATTAATCTGAGAAAACAGCAAAGTTTTATTATAGTTTTAAAAGTTTATTTCTGGATTGAATTATAATTTTTCAAATGTCCCTTTGCAAAATATTTTCTTTGCTACAAAACTTGCTCCATACACACAGAAACATCAAAATCCACAACTAAATCTTTTTTTTTATAATAAAAAACATAAATATTTCCAGCCTGAATCATGCCCACACTGTGACTGATCACACAGTGAAACCAGCTTATTAAAGTTGTATGGTCCAAATGGATAGAAGACCCGACGTAAGCACTTATCAATATTTCATACTTCCAGTTACCAATAACCGGAGGCCGTTACAGCAGAGGCGGAGCTATGTTGTTGATCAAGCTGAGATTGAATTTAGGGACTTTCTGAAGTCATTTACCATGAATTTCTGTCCTGATTACATTTGCATAATCGGTTGTGTTTTGGCTCAGAGATCAGATGGCTTTTTAATGCAGTGCCTTGAACTGGGTCAGCCATGATGGCGAGCAATGTCTATTAGTGTGTCTGTGTGGGCATGTTTGGAGCCACTGCCACATGACAAGGAGAGCAAAACTCAGAGTAGAAGCGAACATTAAAAGTTTGAAGTATAATCAGTTGCTGATGTGCATGTATGTCTCAACCTCTCCTGTTATGTGTCTGCTGACTAGATCAGTGAAAGCCGACCAAGGACCTTATGACCCAAAGGAAAACATCACCCTGTTTACACGCATCCTGGACAGACTGCTTGATGGATACGACAACCGTCTCCGGCCCGGTCTGGGAGGTGAGGAAACGACGTATAGCTGCTGTATGGTTTTGTACAATGAGTGATTGCGGTTATGCAATCACACGTGTCCCGCTCTTAAGAGAGCTCATTTGCAGTGAGAACACTTCATTTAACATCAGCCTTCATAGAACCGATAACCTTTGGCAGTAGGCCCCTCAAGAATAGATAGATAAACACACTCTGAGTCTGAAGCTTTCAGATTATATAATCCCAAAACCACTTCCTGGAAAATTGGCCTCATTCAACCCAACTAATGACTCAATATTACATATATTTGTAGTATCAGAATCTAATGCATATATAAGGAAAAGGTATGATTTTAAGTTTGTCAATTTATTTCTGTTCCAATGAAATATGCAACTAATGTATGAATTTATACTGTATATATATATATATATATATATATATATATATATATATATATATATATATATATATATATATATATATATATATAAAAGAAAAAGAACACCTAAATACTGACACTGGAACTAAAGAGCCATATACGGCACATATTCTTATAGGGTTTAAACTTTTCCACATTTGGTGAAGCTAGAAGCCCAAACTTTCCTTAATTTCAATGAGATGTGATATAAAACCAGTATACGTGGTGGAAATACAACAGCCGGCATCATGTGGTAGCATCATGCTGCGGTGATGCTTTTGTTCTGTAGAGAGTAACTGGTCTGAGCTGATGGGAAGATGGACGGCGGTGAATGTAGGACAAACCTGGAAAGGAATGGAAAGGAAGTCATATCAACAACATTCTTTCTTTTAATTCAAGTTATTCTCTCTGGTAGAAAAAATAATTTATTTCTAGTCAACTAAATCTTGTCAGAACTTAGAACTAGATTAAGGTGTAATAAGGAAATCCCATAAATTTTTAAGCTCTCTCCTGTCTTTCGGAAACCTTCCGTCTTTGCATCTGGTGGAATATTTATTCCTCAGTGGAGCAGAGTCAATGTCCATTAAATCTATACGAACTATAAAACATAATAGATAAATGTTTGAACAGCAAATAAAAACAAGACAATTTAAGAGGTAGAGGAAATAAAGTCAGAACCAAGTTATTCGAAAAGCTCCGTTGTTCCAAAACAGAGAAGACATTATAAGGGAACATATAACAGAAATACCAAACATCCAGCAAAAGAGGAAAATTCATTACAAAAGCAAAGGCAAAGCCCAGACCCAAATCTATTTATCTGCTTTAGTACTAACGACTTGGTTCAACTTGGTGTGAGGGATTGCCTTCCAATCAGAATGAATGCAATCAGCTGATTTCCCTTAGATAGAAACTTTGAACTAATCTGACTGCATGATGTGGTTGAATTGTCTTTATAAAGTTCCTTGAGATGATGTGTGTTGTAAATTGACGCTATGTAAATAAACATACATACATATAAATACAAATGCACACCACACTTTTTAGATCTTTATTAATGATACATGTAAAACGCCTGATAGTTATCCTTCTACTTTACAATGACACACTACTTTGTTTTGATTGTAGCATCAAATGATAATGAAATCCCCTGAAGCCTGTGGTTATAATGTGACAAAATGTTTTAAGACATTCGTAGAACACCCTGTTGTAGTTTAGAGGTTTGGACTAGTACTTTAGATATACAATCATTTTAAATTTCACTTTAAATACAAATTCAATAATTTAAGGACAAAAAAATGAATAGAGCTCATTCTGCCCTTTTTATACCCCTTTAGTTTTGTTGTGATACTTAACACAAGAATTTGATGTGTGTGTCTGCGTATTCACATGGGTGTGGGGTTAGCAACATTAGCGTTTAGCTATGGTTAATTTATCATAATTTACTGGACTATTTCACAATAAGTAAAAAGTTGCACAAGCAGCAAAAGAGACCGAATCTCCCCTTTTGGTTGAATAGAGATGAGAGTGGTGATAGCAAGTAAGGTTATATACACCAAGCGTCCCGCCTAACCTCATAGTGCATTATGAGCCTAAATAGAATTTCAGCACAAGGGGCGTGCTAACATGCCCAGTATTGTACTTCTGTTGTTAATAAAAATAAGATCTTTATGTACTAACAAACTGAGCAAAAACACCAGCAAAATACACCAAAATAACAAATCCTTCTCCAGCAGGACCTGGTAATCTTTCAGAAAAAAACCTTGTATGGAACCAGAGTAAGGTACAGTACTGGTGTATATGTCATATAAAGCAACTAACATTAAAAAAAAGGAAAAAGTCTGAGTATTCAGGTGATGTCTCCTTCCAGCACAAGAAGCTTGTGTAGTTTTTTTCAAGTTTTGCAGCAGGTAGCATCTGCATTTTGCATCACCTTCCATGACTCTCACTAATTTCCCTGTGTCTTCTCACCACATCCAAGTCTTTCATACCAGGCATTTAATTTTCAGACTGACCCCCTTACCCCAAAAACTGAGCTCCTCCTTCAGGATTTGGTGCCTTTTGCTTTTCTAATTCCTGGGGCAATCAGTCCATCCTAGAAGCTGCCATATGCCTCCTTTAGCTTGAGCAGTATTCAGCCTGTTTAAGTGCCAATTATCTTGCTGCTTGTTATTGTACAGGGAAATCCTTTTTTGGTTTTCTACATGCTTACAGATCAAACTGTTTTTTTTTTAATTATTATTATATATATTTTTTTTTTTTTTTTTTTTGATGGAAACGTTTTGTAATATATATAGTTAATATATTTTCAGCTTTTATTCTGGATACATTTCTGGGAAAAAGTGCCCAAACATGTGCAGTTGTGGAGAATTTTCATGGAATAGCATTGAAAAGGTTGTTTTAATGTGTTAAATAGAAAGACACCTCCTACATTTCTGTATCCTTTTTTTCCATTGAAGTTGTCTGTTTTCCATCACTGGCCACAACAACAGCATAGCATCATCAACTATTAACTGTAGAACTGGCAGGAGAAGGAGAAGTGTCCATATTCTATATATTTCAAGGGTAACTGCATCCCATTCTAAAAGAATAGGGGCCTATTATAATAGACTGGCCTTTTGTGACCAAACGTCTTCTTTAATAATATTAAATTTTATAGTATGGATCAGTAAATATGATTTTACTTTAAAAAAGTGTATTTATTCATGATCAAAGTACTCAAGACAGGTTTACCACGGAACCCTGCCCTATTTATAACAGGATAATGTGGGGGTTAATCCAATCAAATGTTATGGTGAAGTAAAAGGATTGCTTTTAAATGCTAAAAAACAAAACAGTGTTTTATGTTTTAATGAAGGGTTTGGAAAAATATATGAAATAACCAGCTACGAACAACTGATTTCCAGTTTAAATATTTAGAAGAATTTCATAGGAATAAGGGGCCAATAAATAAATTTTTTGCTATTTTCTAGGCAGGTAGGAACAGGGATAAGGTCTGTTATATGTTAACTACCTATATGCATTCATTACAAGAAATTATTCATAATTTGATTGGTAGATTTCTTGGTCTTGTAATGTTATTTGGTTATATCTTTTTTTGCTTTTGTTCATGTTTTCTAGTTATTCTAATATTTTGGTAAAAGCAAATAAAAGAAAGTTACAGGAAAAAAGCATTTATACATGATCTTAAAACTATACTTAGAAACAGGCAATATTCTATTTTGTTTTATTATAAACATGCTACATATTGAAGGGTTAGCCATGGGGATTTGTGTGTTTTTTTAACTGAATATAGAATTAGATATAGATATAGAATTGCCCTATGCTTCAATAATCTGAGCCAACCTGAGCAGGTGTCTTTTTCGCCACCAATATTATTGTACTGTTGTTATTTTTGACATTTTCAGATTTTTGGGGCATTTTTCCAATGCCTCCTTTTCAGCAACAGTGACCACATCCATGTTTTTCATGTGAGTTTACTGTACACCAGACTTTCTATTGCTTTCAGCTTCCTTGTAGATCAGCTTTGCTTGTCCTAACAAGTTTTTTTAGTAAAAAAAACTGCATTGACTTCAGAGGTTTGCAATCATTTCCTAATGTTATGCCCTTACAGTAGAGAGAACCCTATATTTAGCCTGAAACAGTGCTATACTTTAAAGAGGTGTATTAAAAATCTGGTGCTGGCAGGAAACCAATATAGAAAGCTGAGAAGCCTGGCAGTGAAACAAAGACAGGTCACAGGAGGTGATGACAGGCAGGTTGGCAGAGGTTGAAGTCAGTTATGTGAGGCTGGCATCAGTAGTTTACAAGAGGAATGAAAGGCAGAGAGCCAAAAAGGCTTGACAAGATTTGTGACTGTGGCACAGTTCAGATAGAGTCCAGAATCAGAAGCTGGTGAGGTTTCCAACAAGGGCAAGGAAGTACAAGGAAATCCAAGAGACAAGAACTTACTTGCAAACTGATAAGGCAGAAAGGCAATGCTTGACTTTTAATCACTCAATGGCTTTCAACAATCTGGCACAGGTTGACTGTGATAGTCCAGATTATAAAGGCAGATTAACAAATGAGTTATGTTGAGCTGACTGTGATTTGGCAGAGGACCACAGGTGCAGATGATGATCCTAATTGATGAGCGAGCAGTACAGGACGCAATGGTCTAATGGTCTGTTACATTTGCCTTCGAAAATCAAAAGTTCCATCTTCCAAGTCATAAATTTAAACTGGAACTCAGAGTTACACGTTCGAAAGTGGCTGCAACAATATAGTACAAGACTTCCACATTCAAGAAGGAAGGTATTTGTATCAACAGTTACACTTTGTCACTTTGGCTGGTTTGAAGCTGTCCTCTATTATATATGCAACATTCTGGTTTTGCTGCCAAGTGTTTAGTGGACAAAAGTTTTCAGTGCTGTTTATATTCCTAGAATACCATGTAAAACAATAAAGACATTATTTGTAACACTTGAAAGATCAGTTCTGGATTATGGAGGCTTAGAATTTTAATTTCAAACTTTTTTTGGAATTACTATGACCTGGATGACTGAGAATCTCCATCAGCAATATCAATCAGCAGTTTCGCCTTCTATAAAACGGTATTTCAGAACCAAGCATCAAT